TATTGTTTCTAGGTTCATTCTGAGATATTTTTGAAATCTATGACTGTTTTGTTGGCTGTGACCCCCACCCAAGAGAAAGCATTTTGTGTAAAATTTAGTGAATAGTCTGAAGTTGCGCATATTACCTCCGATTGTGCCCAACGTACCTCAAAAAATCAAATCTAGGGCTGTAGCTACACGTAAAATATTAAATGCACGTATACCCGTCCTGCCACGTGCCACTAGTCCGGTATCGCGTACTCGCTGCTAAGTTGTCATTTACATTTTTCTAACCAGTGTTTGTCTTGCAATTGGCTTCAACATCGAGACAAACTATGAATGCTTTCGGTTATGTGTTTTCCTCGTGTCGGGATAAATTATACAAGTGTAAGGCTTAGAAAACATGTGTGCCGTGCTTGTCATCGCCAGGCGGACTCCTCGCCTTCGCTGACGGTCACATACGTTGGCATATACTTGAGGATCCTTCGTTCTAATAGTTTGGTTCTTCTACAACGTCTTATGTTTGCTGGTTTTCGATAATCGTATATCCCAGTTGATTTTCTCATCAAATTATATAAGTAAGCAAAATGTCTTCTGTTTGGTAGACCAAACTACCCGCAAACTTGTGCCATATGTTGCAAAGTCCTTCTAGTGTCGCTGTTCTCAACGCTTACGCTTTTTACTTAATTTGTCGTTTTCCTTCAATAAAGATAAACAATGGTTCTCTTGCTTAGGTTGTTTAGGCACCCGAGGCTACTTGTGAGTTCCACCATAGGCCATGCTTTGAGTGTTATAAGAAAACAGCCCGAAGTAGCCTGGAATGCTTACAGGATCACTGCCGTTATCTCCGGACGGCTTCTAGAATTAAAGTAGATGATGGATGTCAAGAATCTTTGGCTAACTAGGGGCTAAACTATTGTCTCTTCGTGCTATGATAATTCAACAGTCCACCCACCACCTTCATCCGATTTAACCCACCGGATAGAGCAAATTTTTTGGAGTCACATTTTAGAACCATCTCGGTTAGCGGTCAGTTGGGGCCGTCATCACCTGCACGAGGGCCCGTAGACTGTTATATTAACCCTTGCATGCTTGATTGAATACTTTTTCGTTTGAAATAAACGCCCACCCACAAAATCCACACAGTAGTCATTTGTTAAGACGTTTTATTCCACATTATCCGATCAATCTTTTTCCGGCGTCTAATTTACGCCTTATTTGCAAAACAGGTGATCCTTGATGAGGCACGAGAATCCTATGCTCCGGAAATTGTCCACGAACTGAAGAGCGAAACCCTAGAGGATTTGCAGAAGAATGTGTCAGACATCTCCGCTTGGATCCAACAATGGAAGGCCACCCATCCAACTTGACGGCTCTTTGCAAAATTCTGTAAAGTTCATTTTTAAGTCCTTTGACCACAGATACTGCGGATATAAACTTGGCCCTTATAAAAAAATATTATTTGAAACTTATTCTTTGCGGATGGCCGCCATCTCGGGAATATCCGAAAACTGCTTTTAGCGTCG